TGTAATCCCAGCACTTTGGGAGGCTAAGGCAGGAGGATCACTTGAGCTCAGGAGTTCGAAACCAGTGGAACAATATGGTGAAATTCCATCTATACCAAAAATACAAATATTAGCCAAGCATGATGGTACATGCCTATAATCCCAGCTACATGGGTGGGAGGATGGCCTGAACCCAGTGAAGTCAAGGCTGCAGTGAGACCTAATCACCACTGCACTCCAGCCTGGGCAACAGTGAGATTCTGTCTCCAAAAAAGAAAAAAGCCACGAAGACACCAATCCCCTTCCATATTCACTTTATTTTCATTGGCTGATTGATTGATTTTTTTCTTAGGACAGGATCTCACTCTGTCACTTAGGCTGGAGTGCAGTGGCACAAGCATGGCTCACTGCAGTCTCAACCTCCCAGTCTCAAGTGATCCTCCAGACTCAGCCTCCCAAGTAGCTGGGACCACAGGTGCACACCACCATGTCCAGCTAATTTTTAAACTTTTAGTAGAGACAGGTCTCACCATGTTGCCAAAGCTAGTCTCTAACTCCTGGCCTCAAGGGATCCTCCCACCTCAGCCTCCCAAAGTGCTAGGATTACAGGCATGAGCCATCACATCTGGCCCCCACACAATTGCATATACACTTTTTTAAAAACATAAGCAGGGCAATATGAACCCCAGAATCTTGACAATGGTTAATGAAAAACTTAAATTTTATAATAAATTACATAATACATATAATAATATGTATTAATAAAAGTCTTCATTTAGCACTTATTTAATATTTACTGAATCTCTAATATTAAGCAATACTATGTTCTGTGCTGGACATGTAACACTAAATAATTATTGACACAGTCCCACCACCCAAAGATTCATAATCCAGGCTGGGTGCAGTGGCTCACTCCTATAATCCAAACACATTGGGTGGTCAACATCTAAGGATTGCTTGAGCCCAGGAGTTCAAGACCAGCTTGGGCAACGTAGTGAAATCTCATCTCTACAAAAATATTAAAAAATTAGCCAGGCATGGTAGCACATGCCTGTGGTCTCAGCTACTCAGGAGGCTGAGGCAGGAGAATTGCTTGAGCATGGGAGGTCAAGGCTGCAGTGAGCTGTGATCTTACTAATGCACTCCAGCCTGGGTGGCAGAGTGACATCTATCTCAAAAAAAAAAAAAAAAAAAGATTTACAATCCAATAGAGGTGACTGTTGGGAAAACAGGTACCATGAGTACAGGATGCTACAGAAACCCCTAGGAGGCCATACAACCCCTGCAGAGAAATCAGACAAGGCTTCAGAGAAGGGATTCCAAGCCAGGACGTAAAAGACGAGAAGGAAGTATCTAAGGAAATGTGGGAGGAGACGAGGGCCAGAAGGCAAGAAGTGCTACTACAGAGAACAAAGTCCAGAGACAGATTCGGTTTTTATAACAAACTAAGGAATTTAAAATTTAACCTGAAGGTAACAGAAAGCCATTAAATGGATTTTAAGCAAGAGGGTACCATAATTTCTGGGCTATAAAACGAAGACTGAATTAGAGGAGGACAAGGCAAGAAGAAACCAGTGAAGAGGTTATTTCAGTAACCAACTGAGAAATGGTTGACTGAACTGTGGTCTGGCTAAACTGGGGTCTGGTGACAAGGACAGAACTAGAGGGATCTGTGAAGTTTAAGATGAAGGGAATAATAACATCTGTAAATTCACTGTATAAGAGAGCTTGGAGGAGCAAAGAACACTTTCTAGCTGACTAGACAAGGACACCATTACTGAGCTAGAGAACAAGAGAAACGGATTATGGAGCAAATGGTTAGACATGTAAAATTCAAGGTGTACATGGGAGATACCCAGAAGGGAATGTCTAGAAAGCAGTTGAAAGTGATCTGAAACTAAGAAAGAGACACTGGTGATACAGAAATAAATCTAGGAGTCAATATAATACAGATAATAATAGCTAATATTGGCCAGGTGCAGTGGTTCATGCCTGTAATCCCAGCACTTTGGGAAGCCGAGGCAGGTAGATCAACTGAGGTCAGGAGTTTGAGACGAGCCTGGCCAACATGGAGTAACTCTGTCTCTACTAAAAATAAAAAAAATTAGCTAAGCATAGTGGCACATCCCTGTAGTTCGAGCTACTCAAGAGGCTGAATCAGGAGAATCACTTGAACCCAGGAGGTAGAGATTGCGGTGAGCCGAGATCCCACCATTGCACTCCAGCCTGGGCAACAAGAGCAAAACTCTGTCTCAAAATAAATAAATAAAAGCTAACACCTACTGGGCCTTTATTGTGTGCCAGGCTCTCTGCCAAGCACCTTCATGCTTAATTTCATTCAAGGATTACAAGAAAGGTTTTAAATACTATTATCTCCATTATACAGACTTAAAAAATAACGCTGAAGCCAGGCACCACGGTTCACATCTGTAATCCCAGCAATTTTGGAGGGCAAGGCGGGTGGATCACTTGAGGTCAGGAGTTCGAACCAATATGGTGAAAGCCCATCTCTACTAAACATACAAAAAAAAATAAGCCAGGTGTGGTGGCAGGCACCTGTGGTCCTGGCTACTCAGAAGACCGAAGCAGGAAAATCGCTTGAGCCTGGGAGGCAGAGGTTGCAGTGAGCCAAGACTGTGCCACTGCATTCCATTCCAGCCTGAGTGACAGGGCCAGATGCTATCTCAAATAAAAAAGAAAAGAAAAAGAAGGCTGGGAGAAAATAAAGTTTGAATGGGCTTAAGTCTCTCAATTAACGATAAAGTTGGGATTTAAATCCAAAACAGGTACCCCCAAAGCCCATGTTCTCAAGCATCATGCCATCCCACCTCCAAAAACAAAACAGCCTCAATTTGTTGAGCAATTACTATGTTTAGGAGCCGAGTAAAATAGGTACCTATATTCTCATTTACTCTTCACAACATCTTTGAGATAGAGCAAAGCACCCTTCTATCCCTCTACATGCCCAACGCGTACACCACAGTGTCAGTGCAGAATCATACTGAATGCATCACTCTTAGTTTTCCATTGAAAAACTCAAGAGGACCCCTATATTCTCAAATTTAAAATCATCTTGCCCAAGAATGAGCATAGACACCTTAGGAGGCCTCACCAATATCAAAGTACAAACCAAAGAGAAAGCATATGGCCACAACCAGGACTTTGGCAAAAAACACTACTCCCAACATTGTTGAGGCCTTAGGAGAAAGCAGCATCTACAGGTGAAAATCGCTGGAGAAAAGTAAAAAGCAAACCTACTGCATTCATGAAATCATCATTCTTGAAGAGTATTCTCAGCAAGTGGCCCAGCATACACTCTGGATCTGCTCGACCTACCAAGAGAAGAGGGGAGGAACAAACAAAGGAATGATTAAGTCATCCCAGTCAAGCAACTTAGACCTCTGGTAAGGCACCTGGGTTGTTATAAGTACTAATAAAATGCCAGCAAAAATAAACAGAAACAAAAGATTATTGTGCTAAATTAGAGTTCGTAAGAACTTGCTTTAGACCAGGTACAGTGGCTCACACCTGTAATCCCAGCACTTTGGGAAAGCCAAGGCAGGCAGATCACCAGGTCAGGAGTTTGAAACCAGCCTGGCCAACATGGTGAAACCCCGTCTCTACTAAAAACACAAAAATTAGCCCAGCTACTCACGAGGCTGAGGCAGGAGAATTGCTTGAACTCAGGAGGCAGAGGTTGTAACAAGCAGAGGCTGCGCCACTGCACTCCAGCCTGGGTGACAGAGCAAGACTCTGTCTTGAAAAATAATAAAAATTAAAAAAGAAATGTGCTTTGAAGATTCCAATGTAAAAACTTGAGACACTGCTCTCTAGCCTTCCCATCTCCTAGCATACTGCCTATACAGCACTGCTGAATTAAACAAATGAGCACTAGATCCAGACCAGCATCACCAAGAGTATACAAGGTCTACAAAAGAATCATAAAGGAACCTAAGAGAAAGACACTTGACTTCCCATCCATAAAAAGGCAGGAAGCATGCTTCTATTGATGGGTGGCCTGGAGAAGACAGGTTCCAAGTCCAACCTCTCCTTCTACTACAATGACAACAGCAGCAGAGATGCATCCTCAAACATGTAAGGATACCCTGAGTCAGGGTGAACAGGGTGAATTCCACCAAGCAATCACCAACCCTGAAGATACAGTGACCTTGGCCATCTTAACTTCCTGGCTCTTGTGAAAAGGAGACCAGGGGCCTGGAATCGACTCAATGCACAGCCTAATTAAAAAGAATTAGTTAATGAAAGAGAGAATTATTGGTTTGTTGTCATTGTTGCTGTTTTTTGAGACAGAGTCTTGCTCTGTCACCCAGGCTGGAGTACAGTGGCTCGATCTCAGCTTACTGCAACCTCCACCTCCTGGATTCAAGCAATTCTCCTGCCTCAGCCTCCCAAGTAGCCGGGATTACAGGTGCCTGTCACCACCTCCAGCTAATTTTTTTTTTTTTTTTTT